CCCCATCCTGTAGGTCAGCACCACTCACCAAGTTCGTAGAGAACGAGGGGAGGTAGAGACCAGACAGGGTGCCAGAGGGAGCCGCCGGACACGGGAGGACTGTGGAGAAGTGAGACAGGACAGGACCCCCAGAGGGGTCAGCCAGAGACACCGCTACCGACCGACTAAGCGGCGTGAGTGTGGTGCGGTCCCGAAAGAAGGAGCGAGAAGCCCCACAGTCAAGGGTGAAGGTGAGGGAGGCCAAAGCCGACGCAGTACCTGAGAGCGCAGACTCACCTGTACCTGAGGACGCAGACGCACTAGCACCTGGAGCAGCGGCGTCGCAAGCACCTAGGGCAGCAGCCTCACCAGTATCTAGAGTAGCAGTCTCAATGCCCGGATCGGGCGGGAAACACCGGTAACAGTCACCCTCATCACTAATAGTCATAGCATACATGGCAGAAAGAATAGCATCAAAATCAAGATCATAGATGGCAACTCCCGCCCTAGACAGCTCGCCCCAGCGAGGGATCTCTGTGGCCTCAGGGAACTGGTGACGCCACGCGTTCCTCAGGCAACCAAAGTAGCGTTGGGTGAGGTGCGCACCCCCACACTGACCAAAACCCCCACCCCGTTGGCGTGTTGTGTACCACTCACGGAGCTGCTGAGGGGACAGGGTCTCACGACCGCGCTGCTGCTCCTGGCGCAGACCACCACCGGAGCCACTCCTCTGCGTAGACCCGTGACCAGCTCCACCGCCACCTCCGCCGCCTCCACCACCAATGCTGCCTCCGCCACCACAGCCGCCTCCGCTACCACCGCCGCCTCCGCTCCCTCCGCCACTTCCGCCGCCTCCGCCTCCACTGCTGCCACCGGTACCCCCACCCCCTCCACCACTCCCACCACCACCCCCACTCCCTCCGCCGCCTCCACCGCCACCTCCACCACCCCCGCCAACTCCTCCAGCGCCCTTGCCTCCCTTGCCCTTGCCTGTGCGGCGCTTCCCCGAAGGGGCAGACGCAGCACCGGCCGACTCAAAACCAACGAGGTCGGCCGCAGCAGCAGAAGCAACAGAGGGCAAGAGGGGAGAGGGAGAACACCCCTCAAAGACAGGGGTGCGGGGGTCACCACGAGAGGCTCCTACAGCGACTATGCTCTTCTCCGCCGCTAGGAGGGCCTTGTCGAGGAGGTCAACAGTGAGAGTGGTGGGGCACACTTCGAGGAAGTGGTCCCTGACTACGCGAAGGGAGTCAGGGAGTCGGGTGACTATGTAGTAGAGGGTGATATACATGGGGGGGGGGTTCTTGGCGCAGAAGTCAGTAGGAAGCGCAGCGCGGTAGCGAGTGTCACTAGTGCGGAGGTGCGTAATGAGGTCAGCGACTGTGGGAAAGGCAGCAAGGTCAGGAAAGAGGTACTGTAGCATGAGACGGCTCAGTGCAGCAGTGGCAGGGGAGGAGTAGCGTGCAACTACAACGTCGTACAAGGTCTGAGCACTCTTGTACTGACTAAAGTGCGCACGCTCGGAGGTAGGGAGGTGGCGACGCACCGCAAGACGTGCAGCAGCGTCGCGCGTGGCCCACTGGTAGCGAGCAGTGGCATCAGCATCAGCAGCAGGGGCAGGAGAGGCGCCAGAGGTGAGGTCAAAGAGGGAGAGACCGTCTTCTCTATCGCACTGTAAGAATAGCTGCAGGTCATCTACCCAGACGTCAAAGTCAATGGCTCGACCCTCAGCGTCAAAAGCGAGGACACTAGGGGTAGCCATGACCACAGTAGACTAGCAGTGCAAACAGTAGGGTTAGGGCAGTGCAGCGAAAGAGGCGCTGTGCTTACCGGACGGGGCAGCTTGGGCGGCTCGGCAGTAGGGTGGCTCGGCAGCTCGGCAGCTCAGCTACTGGGCGGCTGGGTGGCTCGGCTGCAGTGCGGCTCGGCGGCCCGACGGCTCGGCTGCACGGCGGCTCGGCTGCTGGGCGGCTCGGCTGCAGGGCGGCTCGGCTGCTCGGCTGCTGGGCGGCTCGGCGGCTCGGCTGTCCGGCTGCTCGGTTGCCCGGGCGGCTCGGCGGTGCTGCTGCAGGGCGGCGCGGCGGTCGGCTGCTCGGCTGGCTGAGGCGGGTCGGGCAGCTCGGGTGGCGGGCGGCGCTGCAGCAGGGGACGGGGCCGCAGGTCAGGACGGCGGGGCCGGAAGTGAAAGCGGCGGGGCCGCAGGTGAGAGCGGCGGGGCCGCCGGTGAGAGTGGCGGGGCCGCAGGTGAGAACGGCGGGGCCACAGGTGAGAGCGGCGGGGCCATAGGTGAGAGCGGCGGGGCCGCAGGTGAGAGCGGCGGGGCCGCAGGGAAGGGCGACGGGGCCGCAGTTGAGGGCGGCGGGGCCGCAGTTGAGGGCGGCGGGGCCGCAGGTAAGGGCGGCGGGGCCGCAGTTGAGGGCGGCGGGGCCGTTTAGAGGGACGGCGGGGCCGTGAGAAGGGCGGCGACGGGCCGCTGCAAGGGCGGCGACGGGGCCGCTGGTGAAAGGGCGGCGGATCGGGGCCGCAAGGGCGGCTGATCTGGGCCGCGAGAGGCCGCTAGGACGGTGTGACGCGGCCGTTAGGGCGGCGCGACGGGCCGCTAAGGGCGACGCGACGGGCCGCTAAGGGTGACGCGACGGGGCCGCTAAGAAGGGCGCGACCCTAGGCGCGCTTCGGGCAGGGGCAGGACGCGCCCCGGGCAGGAAAAAAAGAATTGGTGGGCCCTAGGAACAGTTCCCACGAGGGAACCTGCTCGATACCATGAGAAAATGAGAACGAGAATGAATGAACTATGAATGAAGTGGGTACAGGTACTAACCCTAATTGGGTTGTACCCCTTATGGGATACCCCACTACAGCCTACACAAAAGCATAAGCTATAATGTTCTGACACACGTTACGCATCCGCTTTGTTTTTCTTACATGCATTCTTCATTCTATTTCCAGTGTTAAAATGAGCTCTTTCTCCCATCTTTTGTTTTCCCGCTCCCACCTTTGATGATTATCTTCATACATTATCTAAACAACTCCTGGCAGTTGAATTGAGCCGCATTAGGAATCAATTCAAGTGTGGATTTACAGTAACTACTCTCTTCCCCTTTCTTCCCCCAATGTCCTCTCCACCCCTTTCTCCCGTTCCACCCAAGTTTACCTATCTTCTCCCATCAGTCAATCGTTTCGGAACCCACAGCCGCCAGCACAAACCAGTAGCAGCAGCAGCAGCAGCAACAGCAGAGCCATCAACAGTGGCAATGGCAGTGGCAACGGTGGCATCTCCCGCCTCATGCACCTCCTTTTCGAACCAAGACGTTTTCCCTGTCTGCTGCCATCAGCCAATCGTTTCTGAACCCACAGCCGCCAGCACGAGCACTAGCAGTACCGGCATCAGCTGCGGTGACGTGTCCAGCGGAAATGGCAGCATCAGTGGCGCAACTCCCGCCTCCTGCTCCTCCTCTCTGCGCCCAAATGACCTGGCGGGAGTGGTGCTGCGAGCGCCTGCAGAACCTCCCACCTCCCATCAGTTGAAACGGCCCCAACCCACGGGTGGGTGGGGGTGCCGCCAGTGCAAGTGGCCATGGCTGTCGATGTCGATGCTGCTGAGGTGGCAGTCGCAATCTCCCGACTCCATTTGTCTGTCAGATGATGCTGCATAGTGCCTTGGCTCTCTCTCCTGCTAGTGGCCATGATTGTTGGTGCTGCTGAGGTGCCGACTGTTTGTATTTCATGGTTGAATTTTATGGTTGAATTTCATGGTTGAATTTCATGGTTGAATTTCATGGTTGGATATCATGGCTGAATTTCATGGTTGAATTTCATGGTTGAGTTTCATGGTTGAATTTCATCACTTTATTGTGTCCATTCTAGGCCGGTTGTGTTCATGGGGCTTGCTGCAGAGGAGAATATCCGGAAAAATTCAGCCGTTCCGAAACATACTAGATGCCGTGCATGCACCCTACTATACATGACATGTTTTAGGCATGACCCATCCCAGTGGCCATTCAAATGTTTTAGCTTTAGGGATGCGTGTGTTACTAAGTGAGGAAAGCCAATGATATAGGTAGTGGAAGTACCGGTACAAAATAAAAGCTATGAAACGAGGATGTGATGGAAGTTGAGGCTATGGAAATATGATTTTTTTCGTAAGTGTGCAACACTTTCTAAAAATGTGTATTGTGAAAGCGCAGCTGCCTGTAACGCAGCAAAGAAACGGCGAAGTACAATTCGCCGAGTACATAAGGAGGGTTGGAGGCCATTCGGCCTCCACCCACAACTTCATTTCGAAACTTCGCAGTTTCATTCCCCACCCACCCACCCTAGTTGTATCATTGTATATTAGATAGTTGGACGAGAATGTTGTATTACTGCAGTTGTACTGAAGCCCCGTTGCCTTTGCAGTTTCATTCATTCTCGGCCAACCACCTCTAAGTCTCCCGATCTCACTAATTTTTATTACCTAGTAGACAAGACGGGTAGTTATTTCTGCTACGCACGTTCACTATAGTATCGCGCTTCCCCATGCAATGGCGTGCGCACAACCGAGAGTGGAGTGCGTGGGACGAAACGGCCACTGGCGCGCTCGTGACGAAATCGCCAGTGGCGCGCGCCAGTGACGAATCGTCACTTGCGCCAATGGCACACGCAAGTGACGGAATCGCCACACGCGCGTCTGAGGTAGAATCGCCACTTGCGCCAGTGGCGAAATTGCCTCACGCACGCCTGTGGCGAAATCGCCACTTGTGCTAGTGGCGACATCACCACTAGCGCGCCTGGGACAGAATGGCCACTCGCACGACAGTGAAGAAATAGCCACTGGCGCGCCTAAGGCATTTGACTGGGAGTATACTCCCTCCCATGTTGCACCCCTGGTCACCTTACCAATTCGCTCATTTGCTTTAATTGCTGCAAGTCTTCTTCAAATTCATTTATCTTTCATTCTATAATTTCCTTCTAATGTCTAATAATACCAACTCGCGTTCAACCTTTTGGTGGCAGAAATATGGGCGACGATTGAGGAAAGAAGTTCATCTAAGTAACGCTGCACCCGTCGCGTGGGAAAACTGCAACGACGACAGCATCAACTGCGCGCGCACCAAAGGATGTCTCCCACTGAAAAACGGGAATCGAGAGTCTCGACGTTGGCCTGAGAGCCGTCCCCCAGGGGGGGAAGGGCGTGTGGCCTGAGAGCCGTCCCCCAGGGGGGGGAAGGGCGTGTGGCCTGAGAGCCGTCCCCCAGGGGGGGAAAGGGCGTGTGGCCTGAGAGCCGTCCCCCAGGGGGGGGAAGGGCGTGTGGCCTGAGAGCCGTCCCCCAGGGGGGGGAAGGACGTGTGGCCTGAGAGCCGTCCCCCAGGGGGGGGAAGGGCGTGTGGCCTGAGAGCCGTCCCCCAGGGGGGGGAAGGGCGTGTGGCCTGAGAGCCGTCCCCCAGGGGGGGGAAGGGCGTGTGGCCTGAGAGCCGTCCCACAGGGGGGGGAAGGGCGTGTGGCCTGAGAGCCGTCCCCCAGGGGGGGGAAGGGCGTGTGGCCTGAGAGCCGTCCCCCAGGGGGGGGGAAGGGCGTGTGGCCTGAGAGCCGTCCCCCAGGGGGGGGAAGGGCGTGTGGCCTGAGAGCCGTCCCCCAGGGGGGGAAGGGCGTGTGGCCTGAGAGCCGTCCCCCAGGGGGGGAAGGGCGTGTGGCATGAGAGCCGTCCCCCAGGGGGGGAAGGGCGTGTGGCCTGAGAGCCATCCCCCAGGGGGGTAAGGGGACCGAAAGTCCCTGTGTGGCATGAGAACCGTCCCCCAGGTGGGGAAGGGGACCGAGGGTCCCCATGTGGCCTAGGAGCTGTCCCCAGGGGGGGAGGGGACTGACGGTCCCCTTGTGGCCTGAGAGCCATCTCCCAGGGTGGGAAGGGGATCAAGGGTCCCCGTGTGGCCCGAGAACCGTCCCCCGGAGGGGGGAAGGGGACCGAGGGTCCCCATATGGCTAGAGGGCCATCCTCCAAGTGGGAAAAGGGAAGGGATCCTACACTTGAAAGTCCCCAGGTCAGCCTACCGTAACATGGGCTAAATTTCAACCATCGTGTGCGGTTATTTGGACAGCCCATGCTTGATCATTGATGTATGTGAGCCACATGATAATATATTCAAGCATTTCTTAACCAATTAAGGCTGGTCAGAAGCCCCAACAAAACTAAGAGAATTATTGTTTTGAATGCGAGTAAATATGGATTTTGATTTTGACATGGCTATAGTTGTTCATATCATCCAGTGTTTTCCCCAAAGAAGGGCTATGCGGAAGGGACCAGTTTTTGCCATCATGCACATCCAACTTTGTTTGATCTCACACTTGATAGGAAAGGGGGAGATAATAGAATGTGTGTGAGGCGACCGCTTGCTATCACAAGCTCGCATCTCATCAAGAACGTGAGTATGTCTCTTGAAGCTAAATATGGATGTATGCGTGCCAAAGAAAAAATAGGTTCTTGTCCCACCATCATGACGAAGATCCTCCCTTACTACCAACTCAAACTCACACATCCACATTTTAGTTAGTGCGGAACACCAAACGATTGGAAGTGTAAAGTACAGCATAGCATCTGAGTACGGTGGTAGAGTGCATTGGCCGTATAGAACTTGGAAACCACCTGTTTCAGCCACCATCCAGCGGCATCAACAATCAGGGACATCCACATCAAGGGAGCAAGCAACCTTCGCACATACAGCACTCCGAACACCATCAACGTGGAGATCACAATCCCCAACGCCGACTCTCTCGGCACTTCGTCACGGCCATCAACCGCAATTACACTCACCACGTCTTCAACGCCCCAACTACACATGTCTCAGAAGACCCAATTGTAATGAAGCCCGTTGCCTTTGCAAGAACAGAAAGCAAGCTTTCTCAATATGATTTTTTTCGAAAGTGTGCAACACTTTCTAAATATGTGTATTGTGAAAGCGCAGCTGCCTGTAATGCAACAAAGAAACGGCGAAGTACAATTTGCCGAGTACATAAGGAGGGTTGGAGGCTGCTGGGAACAAATAATCAAAGTACACATTTGTCGTGTCCAAACACCAAGTCAGAAGCGAAGCAGAGCATATCGAAGCATCGGCGAGTCAACCCTCGGAGGTTGAAACAACTGTTGGAGGTTACGCGAAAGTCAAAGGTCAGCGACCTTTGACCTGACAAATGCAGCGCGACAGCAAGGACACACAACTGACTCGATATTGAGCAGTTGCCAGAGTCGCACTATATCGAACCGCAACAGCAAACAGTAAAACATTTATCAATCGTATCTCTTCGTATTCCTTGTAATCTTATATAAACCTTTGTACTTGCTTGTTTTTATTAACTTACTTTGCCCTCACATACCAGCGCAAGGTGGTTCACAAGTCTTTACTCAACGCTTCCGCTATTACATCATTCTACTTCGAATTTAGTCCTACAAAAGATCCTGAGGGGCTTTCAGCCCAACATGGTATGAGAGCAGGATAGGATTAAATTCAATTCTTAATACCTACGACATCAAGAAGACATGTCTACCCGAAAGGAGAGAAGCTCCTCCAACGGCTCTCCCGGTACTACCCCTACTCCACCCCCTGCCTCTGGCCTACAGACAGAGGAGGGCACAACAACGAGACCGGCAGCTGGGTCTACCGAAACACCAGCAAATCAAGGCGCGGGCTTCGATCCAAGCATGATGGAGAATGTTTTCTCCTTCATGTCCTTCTACGAGCAACACCAGCAAGGAGCACTTGCGCAATCAAACAACAGCAACAACAACGTGACACCCATGAGTCTCGACGGCTCTTCCTACGCACGCGGAAATCAACAGCAGCAGCCTACCTTCGCTCCGTACGAGCCCCAGCGCGGCTCCGTCAGCTTTATGCCACAACCACAACCGGTACCGGGACAAGAGAGAACACTGGACGGACTTCAAGTTCAATCGCAGTTCGTGTGAGAAATGAGGAATGATTGCATTGAGCAGCATGAGGAATACAAGTAGGAATCCCTAAAGTGTTGTACCCCATATGAGCTACCCCATTACAGCCTACACAGACTATAGCATATAAGTTTGACAGTTCGCACACGTTCCAAAACTGCAAACGTCTAAACCCTTTGACGGGAAGGATTTCTTTACCTGGTCGTTCGAATTCGAGCTGATGATGGAAGGCGCGCAAATCCTTGGGTTCTTCGACGGGTCCCTGCCATACCCAACACACGGAACACGGTACGACAAACAGCAATCTACGTATCAGTCAATGATGGCGTATACAATCCTACTGAGGAACGTCACGCCAAACCAGCAGCAGAATATACGGTCTTACCGGGGATACGGCAATTCTGCAGAGCTCGCGTACAACCACTTGAAGAACCTGTATCAAGCAACAGACAGTGTTAACCAAAGTCGGTTAATGGCGCAGTTGACAACGGTCGAAATGAAACCAGGCGAGAAGGGAATGGCATATATCAATCGCTGTCGCGAGCTGCGCGACAAGCTTCTTCGATGCGGAGGGTCGATTTCAGAAGACGCCTTTGTCACAGTTGTCATCGGCGGCCTCGGTCCACACTGGCTCTCCACCCGTGCTATACTCCGAGCCCACGGAAAAATCTCTGAAGCAGCGCTCTGCGCCGAAATCCACGCCGAGAAGCAAGACATGGGCCTGCAAGAAGAACGACACAAGAAAAGGGGATCAGTACCCGAATTCGCGTTCCACACTCAACGGCGCTACAACAACAACAACAATCGACCAAAAAGTGTACCTCCGTTATGCCAGCTCTGCAAGACCTCAGGGCACCCTCGAACCACTGCCCGAATCGACAACAGTCAACGTCGCCGCAATGCCAGCATCGTCCTTCAAGTAGTCAAGTCGCCTCAACACAAGCGAATCCGACCACTTCAGTACAAATCTCAACACCATCAACGGGACAACCTGCGAAGGGAACAAGAAACATCGTCAGCTGCATGGCGAAGCTAACCGACTCCTGCGTAACAGAGTCACCACCACACTACTCACCAGAAGAGCACCTCGACAACAGCACGCCTTGCCGCAAGTCACTTCAACCGAACGCGACGTACGCCGCCATCGCTCAAAGCGAACCGTCCAGAAAGGATACGTGGTTCTTGGACAGTTGCTGCAGACAGCACATGTGCTCTTCAGGACGCTTCGTTTAACGCGAACACCAGCTTCAACGGGAGGTCGTCATCACTGTCGCCAATAATCAGAACCTGCGCACACGACGACAAGGCGTAGTGCTACTTCAGTCGCGAGAGACAAATGTCATACTACAAATGTCAAAGGTTCTAATCGCAGAAGGACTTGGTTACAACTTACTGAGCGTCAGTCAACTGATGGCAAAGGGCATACATCTCGAAGCCAACAGCACCACTTAGGAGTTCATGTTCTACCACGGGAAGGGCGGTCTCTACATCGGAAAGGCAATCCTGAAGAACAAAGTCTTCGTTCGTGACTTTTTTCCAGATTTAGGCACCGCGGACAATGACGGGATCGTCATCTTCACATCTTGGACGCACCCACCGGATCTCGACCCCGACTTCAGTCCGGAAGGCTTATGGTATTCATATACCATCCCTGAAGCAGAACGAACACGCGCGTTAGTAACAATTAAACATTCGGCAGTAGTAGAGACAACATCGGCAGCAGCAGAGACAACATCGGCAGCAGCACAAACTGTCAAACATTATATATGTTGTGTTAGTTTAGGCTACAGTGGGTTAGCCTATAGGGGGTACACAATTCTAGGGTACGGTTCCTGTTCAGTTATTCCAACATGGTATAGAGCAGGTCCTTCCTACGTAAGAAATTTTCTAAGGGCCCACCACTACGTAACTACCTACCTACCTACCTAACAGTGCCCTAGGGCGCCTCGACGTGTCACGCCCCTAGAGGCCCCTCTTGACGGCCCCGCGCTAGCCCCGTTCAGGCCCCGTTGGCCCCACGCCCGCTCTCCCTAGCGGCCCCGTTCAGGCCCCGTCGGCCTCTTTAAGGCCCCGCTCAGGCCCCGCGCTAGCCCCGTTCAGGCCCTGCCGGCCCCGCGCTAGCCTCTCTCAGGCCCCGTCGGCCCGCGCTAGCCCCGATTCAGGCCCCGTCGGCCCCGCGCTAGCCCCTATCAGGCCCCGTCGGCCCGCGCTAGCCCCGTCTTAGGCCCTGTCGGCCCCGCGCTAGCCCCTCTCAGGCCCCGTCGGCCCGCGCTAGCCTCGTTTCAGGCCCCGTTGGCCCTGCGCTAGCCCCTCTCAGGCCCCGTCGGCCCGCTCTAGCCCCGTTTCAGGCCCCGTCGGCCCCGCGCTAGCCCCATTCAGGCCCCGATCGGGCCCGCGCTAGCCCCGCTTCAGGCCCCGTCGGCTCCGTTTCAGGCCCCGTCGGCCCCGCGCTAGCCTCGTTCAGGCCCCGTCAAGGCCCCGTTTGGCCCCACGCTAGCCCCGCTCAGGCCCCGATCGGCCCCGTGCCCACAACCTAGAGGCCCCGGGCGGCCCGTTCCCGCCGCAGCACACGAGGGAGACCGGGCGGCCCGTCCCCGCCGTGACCCGAGCCGCGCGCCCTGAACCGAGCCGCGCCACCCTGCCGAGCCGCGACCCGACCTAAACCGAGCCGCGCCGCCCTGCCCTACCTGGTTCGTCCTACCTGCTTCTCCTACTGCTACTGCTACTGCTACTGCTACTGCTACTGCTACTGCTGCTATTCTACTGTTCCTATGGCTAGCCCACAGGTTCTCGTGTTCGATGCTGAGGGCCGCCCTGTGAAGTTTGACACCTGGCTTGATGACGTGCACCTCTACCTACAGCTCACAGCCAAGGATGACATCTCACTGTACGATCACGCCCTAGGCCATGTCACTGCCCCTGCAGCTACTGCTGACAGTACTGCTCGCTCACAGTGGCAGACTCGTGATGCCCACGCTCGCTTCGCCATTCACAACTCCCTGCCGATAGACGAACGCGAGCACTTTGGCCAGCACA